CATCTTGGGATGAAAGTAACATTCAATTTTTACCAGATACCCTCTTCTTATTTTTCTAACATTCCTTCCGGTATGTTCAACACATCTTGAGCGTCTCTTCGAAGGTTTTCTGCAAACCTATGCGCCTCAGACTCAGACCAGACAATGCCAATAGTCGCCTATATTCCTCAGTAGCCCCAAACCCGTATCCTGGACACTTTCCCAAGAGAATCCAGTTTAGGTGCCTCGGCCGGGCCTGCTTGGACACCCACTGTTGAACACAAAAAGTCTACCTGTTCAGGCCTGGTTGTCGTACTCGAAAAAAACCCTATTTCTGGATAAATGGGTATAGCATAGTATCCGAATATGAAATCCCTGACGGCTGCGAGGCAAGAGCCTATGCAACTTTCTTCGATCATTGTCCACGTCTTGGTCTGCTAGTATCAAGTCAATAACACAGGAGGTTTTCGATGCGCGCCATGCCCAGGAGACCATGGACCAATGTCGAAACATGCTACCAATTGTGTCGTGTAGTATCTAACTAAGGGTGTTCGGTGAGTGGGCTGCCACACCCCACAGTACTGCCGTCGTTGGCGTTGTTCCTCGCTGACACCGAGGTGGAGTCCAGGTCCTCAGGATAAGCAATCTCGGTCTTGTGCGGGACTTGGTCTCTGCCAGATTGGTCCTATGGAAGGAAACGGTACGTAGAACATGTTGAAGGAACTGTTAGGACAAGGATGGGGCTGCGATAACAAGGGGAATACAGCATAGACGTACCTTGGATTGTCTTTCTTCCTGCATGGGCAAAAACTTCTCTCCAGGCCCGACCACGAGACCAAAATTGGAACGCCAATGCAAGAACAAGGTTGAGGTTGAGGAGGGAGTGACACGCGTAAAAGATGTGGTCAGACAGGAAGAGACAACGACCATCTGTGTCCCGCACCGGCGGCGGTTCAAGTCCCCGTTGTTGCAGCCGTAATTCGATGCCGTCCTTTGTACTTTTGCCTGAAGCTTGCTTGAAGTATCGTTGACTTTAAGTCGAGCTTAGATCACACACGAGAATTGTGATACAAGTGTTCATATTCATCATAAGTAATAAGTATATGCGAATGGTATACAACATATGCGACAGTGAGAATGGAAAGCTAGACAACAAGTTATCCGTGTTTGGTTTGGAAACACGCAAATAAAAACTTGTCATTTAGTTTGTGTTTTTGTCTGTAATATAAATTGAATTACTAAATTAAAACACAAACTAAATGACAAGCTGCGTGTTTCCAAATCAAACGTGGATAGGATTCCTTTAAAGTGTTTAACACCCTGAAATTACTGCTCAGCCACAGGAGTGAATTGCGACCCTGACCATACTTATTTACGACAACGCCAAGACAGGTACGACCACATCGGTGATCTTCGATATGAGCGAAGCCGATTGCCGTTTCATATTGGGGTTGCAAGCAAACAACAGCAGAAGATACACTTCTACTAACTCCTAGTACCCCGCGGGACTCCAGTGGCATAGAATGCGTATAATTAACTTCTCCGCGTTTCATGGATCAAGTTGACTTACTGATAGGACTTGTATTTCAGCCGTTTGGAGTTCGGAACCTGTCAACTGTTCGCATACTAGCACTTCATTTCCCATAAAAGCGGGAAAGAATACATATCTGTTTACCAAAGTGAGCGTAAGTTGGCTTTTCCAGTGTGCTATCCCCATACTTGGGTTGCAGCAGGAGTTTTAGCTCCTTGATATGGCACCTTGAAGGGATTGGACTTATCATGGATCCGGATTCACTATCAAGTTATTTCACCCGCCTTTCGCGACGACATTAGCGGCGACGTGTTTTGTCACACCTCTTAGAGGCAACCTATCCCCAGCGGCGATTGCCCCAATGAGGTGCATTGTGGACAGTGTATAGGCTGAATGATCATTGGGCAGCACCTATAGTCTACTTTAGTCCAAGCATTTCGCAGTCCTCGCTTAAATTCAACGCTCTTGTCAACACGTCTACTCTCTACACTGCTCTACAATGACTGTTGCTGCTGCTCTGGCTACAATATGTGCTTGCACTATTGCTTTTTTCTTATATCGTCTCAAGTCCAACCAACCTATCAATACCCATTTTCCACCTGGTCCACGCGGTTGGTTGTGGCCCATTCTTGGGAATATCAAGGACTTGTCAGTGGATCCGTCTATGCTTCACATGCGTTTCGCATCCTGGCAACCCGCGTACGGTTCGTTGCACCTTAAGTGCCCTTTAGGCCTTTGACAGAATCGTGTTGCCTTTCAGGAGACGTCATCGGTCTCAAGGTTCTCGGACGGTCCATCATTGTTCTGAACTCTCGTACTGCAATTCATGGCTTACTCGACGAACGCAGTGCGATATACTCCGACAGACCTAGTATCCCATTCGTTACCGAATTGTAAGCTGTGCTGTTCTTAGTATCTGTAGTTTTTGATTCAACTTTCCCAACAGAGCATGCGTAGATTGGATGCTACCTCTCCTGACCTACGGTCCTGAGATGCATCTTCAGCGTCGGATGATCAACCAATGCGTCAACACGAGTTTCTTCCACCAATTTCAGAAGCTTCTGGTAAACGAGGCTCGGATCTTTGCCCTCAGTGTCAGGAAAGATCCCAAAAATATGGATGCTCTTGTCAGAAGGTGTGTCTCTTCGTCGTCGTGCCGAACGCGGCCTTAATTGATAAAATAGAATGGCTGGATCGAGCATATTAGGGTTTACCCTTGGAAACCACGGTAACTATCATCTTCTTTCAGTGTCTAACTGTGTAACTTAATTTATCTCACAGAGCCCGAAAAAAAGGAAATGCTACTCAAGTTGGCTTATGACTTCGATGAGTCTATGTCTGTTAATGGGCAGCCGGCACCCACCCTGTCGACCTCATACCCGCACGTATGTCGATCTATATCTATAACAGAAAGCCATTGACGTATCAAAGTGGCGAAGCTTCCTCTATTCGTGTTCGGAAAGAAACTAGCTGATGGCATGAAACGTTTGGGCATTTGCATTACCGACATGCTTGAAATCCCGTATCAGCTCACCAAAGACACTATGGCAAGTAAATTCCTGTAGCACGAAAGCTGGATTCGATGACATGTCTCAATGCAATTAACAGGAAACGAGCGCAGTTGGCCCATCCATGACGAGGCACTTAATTGAGACTTACCAGGATAAGGACGGAACAGTTTCCAATGAACGATCGATTCAAGCATCTGTTGCCATCGCGTTTGCAGGTCTGTTTAGAACAACTCTTTGTATTTACTATTATAACCGCGTTTTACAGGTGGTGTTGCGACGGCAAGTGATTTATTACTGCGTTTTCAACAAGCTAACTTCGTACCATAGACTGCGATTACAGTTCAAGGTCTTCCTACTAGCAATGATGCGATACCCTGAGTCCAGAAGAAAGCACAAGCGTACATTGATGAGGCAGTTGGAAATGATCGACTACCTCACTCTGAGTGACCGCGAAGCCATTCCCTATATAGAGGCTATTGTGAAGGAAACATCAAGGTAAGCGATTGACATTGAAAATATTCACCAATACTAACAGAGGACCAGATGGAGGCCAGTAATACCCATGGGTAAGTCTCTTGTGTCCGATGTGGACATGGCTTCCTCTGATTCTTTGAGTCCTGGGCTAGCCATGGCGCATAAGAACATGCAAGATGACGTCTATAATGGGATGTTCATCCCTAAGGGCTCCACTATCATTCCGAACTCATGGTAAGTCACAATATTATACTTAAGCCAATCTGTTCAGTGTCATTGATAGGCTGTGCTTGCACGACGAAAATGACTTTCCTGAGCCCGACGAGTTCAAACCTGGGAGATTTACCGATGGACATAAGTTGTTTAAAGACGTACCTGATCCGAGAAATTTTGCATTCGGCTATGGAAGAAGGTAATGTTGCGAGGGGCCACGTCAGTCAAGCCAGCACTCACCATTTAGCAGGATATGCCCCGGTCGGCACTTCGCGGAGAGCAACTTGTGGATGAATATTGCCACTTTGTTGTCTGTGTATGATATCAGATATCCCGTCGGCGTAAATGGTCTAGAACAGAAACAGGACCCCAAATTCATCTGGAAGCTAGCTGTACTGTGGGTGATTCCTCGCGAGTTGTGTCGAAACGAAGTCTTAATTGTCATTGCAGGAAACCAGAGGAATTTGAATGCCATTTTGAGCCAAGGTCGAAAGAACGGTTGGAAAAGCTCAGGATCGCAGTGGAGGAAGGCACTTACTAGACGTACAGAGAGGAACATGTCCCAAGTATTTCGAAACATTATGTACACAAATTCCTCTACACAAATTTCAATTCACGTCTCACACTATGCCATGTCATGCTATATCTTCGAGAAATTTCACACCCGAATTGACTATGAATAAGCATTATAAGCCCTCGATTAGTTTTAAGACCGCTTCTTTGGGATTAGTGCCGCGCTCGAGCATATTACTCGATAACAAGCTTTCTACAGTTTACAACGTCACATTCGATGACGGATAACACCGACTCATAGCCATGTTAATAAGTGTACATGTACCAAACAGCTAATGTTATACTGTTGCGTCGATGCAGGAGAGATGGGCGGAGCAGATGCTTGTGTTCAGCCAAGAGACATAGTTTGCGTTCGGTCTGGAGCTGGTGTCGACGTCAAAGATTCGACTTGAATGTTGTGTACTACTAGCAAGCCGTGGATGATCCTGATTCCTGGGTCGCAGCTGTTGGATGGGAGCCTAAGTAATCTTGTTCCGGCGGAACCGTGACGCAGGGTCGACACCACGAGAAAAGTCCCGCGGACGTGAAAGCAAGTGGTTACGCAGACGGTCTTTTCCGTCCAGTCCTGGAGTCGGTCACCGCCAGATTCGTGTCGGAAGGGAAGGCCGTAGTGCACAAGTCCCTAAGCAGGGTCGCACAAGACTCGGAAGAGAAGGGCGCGCGCTGAGAAGACATCCCCGTAAAAGCTCTACTTACCAAGGAAGATTGGGCAGTAGGGCGCATCAATGGGGTAGTGGTAACCTGGGTCGTTGCCATGAATATGCATGTTTTCGACCCGCCGGGGGTTCAATTCCCCCTTGATGCATAGGCGTTAATACCGCATTGTGGATTTATTTTTCTCGTTTTCGTTTTCGTTTTTCATGGGTTGTAGTAGAGGCTAACAATAAGCGTTAATTGCTGGGGCCTTGGCGTTACTCAATCGGAACGTGTTTGAATTATACCAAATTTCCATGATACATATATCACGAGAGTAAAACAACGGTGAGAGCTCCACATTTGGAGGCCGAAAAGGCGTGCCCTGTGAATGTGAGATTGGCATCTCTTTCATGGGGCAGTGCGTAAGATAAGTGTACATTGTCCTCCGTCGGAACTTGGATTGAAATCGAGTTTATACAAAGAAAACCATCATGCATTGTTGGTCCGGTAGTCGATAAGTCACCGTCAGGGTTCAATTCCTCATCGATGTTCTTGCGAATTTTTTCCGCCCTTACTGACGTTAAACAAGATTGCACGGTACGCATACAAGCAGGCAGACTCTACTCGTAAACGAAAATTTAGAATAAACGACCGTGCGACCACCAATGGCATGCCAGCGAAGATGATGGCTATTGAAAGCTGAATGGGCATTGAGTGGAAATAAAGAAAGGTTTGACAGAAAGTAACCCTCCGCGTTCGAGCGCTGACTATGCTGAGAGCAATAGTCACCGCTAGCCTCGCGGAGTAGACGTCCGTTAATGGCGTGGCACGATCGTAGGCAAAGCGCATAAGGTGGGCACGCCGATGAGGTAAGGACCACCCGGGACTTCCCGTACGGCGACGTGGGGCGGTGACGCGGACGGGCTCGAGGACAGGAAGCTGCGGTAAATGGAGTCTTCTTGCTGTGTGGGCAATAGACATGGCCTAATGAGAACGATGCTCCTGGTTGTATGCGTTCGTCGGGACGGAGGCTCGGCGGAGAGTGGACGCGAGTTCGTGTCGTCGTTGCTGGTAGAGTCGAGCCTTCCCAGCGAGACGTGGGGAGGCAAAGAGTGAAGGGCGCTTCGTTTTTGGACTTGACGTGTGGCGGTGGACGAGCTCAGCGTCGACAGTACTGTCGAAAATTGGTCGAAAAATGCTATAAATCTGAGAAGTGGGGTTCACGCACCTCGTCCTTCTGGAAGGTCCTCACCACTGCTAGAAGTTCTTGTCGTCGTCGATGTCTGTCAGCGAGACGTGAGAAGGCAGAGAGTCAAAGGGCGCCTTATTTTTGCAATCGGCCGATGTGGCGGTGGATAAGAAAGAGACCGAGCTCAGCGTCGCCAGTGCCTATCGAAAATTGGTCGAAAGATGTTGTAAATCTGAAAGGTAAGGGTTCACGCACCTCCTCCTTCTGGAATATCCTCGCTACTGCCAGAATAAAGGAACCCTGGACCCTAACTTGTCAAGTGGGATGAAGCACCACGAGTTGGGCCCTGTCGACGCAAGGATCGACCAACAATGACATCCTCATGCGGAAGCAAAACCGCAAATCATTGTCCCACGGGAGGAAGACAAGTGGATGTACATATCGAGACTTGAGAGAACAGTGGACGCGAAACGTCGGAATTGACTCACACAATAGACACCGGGCCTCGCAAGCAATTGGTACACGCAAATTACCTCGTATGTAAAGTGATGGGAGGACGCACAAGTACAAACAATCCATGAAAGGCAATTAGTGAATTGGTTCAGTACGCGATTGGTGTGTCCGGAGGAGTATATAAATCCCTCTGGGGGACGACGGGAGCCCAGAAACCCCCGCCAGCCTCCAATGATCGCCAAACGCAACGCCTCCAATGCGGAGAACATCCCCGTTCGCCGCGCCTCCTCCACCGCCAAGCACGTCGCAGCCGCCAAGGCCCTATCATCGCCAGCCCACAAGCGGAAACGCGCCGTGGCTAAACCCGGGCACATCAACCTGAACGTGAAGACCTACCGCGCCTCCAAAGAAGCCCTCATCACCGTCCAGCTCGTCCCGAAGCTCGAGAAGCGCAGCATCCCCCTGCCGGATGCCGCTACGCTCTTCGCGCGGGACAACGTCGTGCGCGATTTTGGCGTGCGCATGTTCTACACGCTCTCCCTCCTCGCGCCCTCCGCCCCTCCAAAAGACACCTCCATCCCCGCCAAGTTCCCCGTGTCGCTCCCGGCGCACGCCCCCGCAGAGGGCCCCACCTACTTCCTCGGCGTCTTCGCGCAGAACTCGACCAAAGTCACGCTGCACCCCGCGCACCACGACATCCTCGCTACACACTGCGCGGGGCTCCCCAAGGGCATCCAGGCGTCGCCCGCAGGGGTGGAGATCCCCGTACACCCGCTGTGCCTGCCGGACCCGCAGAGCTACGCGCTGCTGAGCCAGTACATGTACACCCACCGCCAGGACCTGCTTCTTGCGTCGCTCTTCCCGCTGGGCTCCCTCCCCGCCAACCCCTTCCCCACCGCTGCCCACCTCTCGGATTCCCCGAAGATCGCTGAGGAGATCCACGCGCAGCTGCTTGCGCTGGCGGAGAACCTCGCGAAGGATTACACGCAGCATAAGCTATTGGGCGGGCTGTCGAATGTGCATGGGCTGTGGAAGAACATTGTTGCGTTGGGTGTGGATGATGATGGGCTGTGGGAGGTCCTCCATGCGGCGTGGGGCGTGTATCTGACGGCCGCGGGGTGGACGGACGGCCGTCTCCATCTCAGAAAGGGCGAGCTCATCCCGGGTTTCCAGTGATTATATGCGTCCATGTTGTCGATTCTTGCTCTCTTGTTGTCTAGCTTTCCATTCTCACTGTCGCATATGTTGTACACCACACACGCATTTACTTATTACTACCTATCCTGAATATGAACACTTGTACCACAAATCTCGTGTGATTTGAGCTCAACTTGAAGTCAACAATACTTCAAGCTTCGGTTGGCAAAAGTACAAAGGACGGCATTGAAGTATTGGTGCAACGACGGGGACTTGAACCGCCGCCGGCGCGGGACGCAGATGGTCGTTGTCTCTTCCTTTCTGACCACCTTTTACACGTGTACTCCCTCCTAGGCCTCAACCCCAGCCTTGTTCTTGCATTGACGTTCCAATTCTGGTCTCGTGGTCGGGTCTGGAGAGAAGCTTCTGCCCATGCAGGAAGAAAAACGGTCCAAGGTACGTCCACGCTTTATTCCCCTTGCTATCGCAAAACCAACCCCGTCCTGCCAGTTCCTTCAACTAGTCCACGCACCTTTTGCTTCCATGGGACCAATCTGGGAGAGACCAAGTCCCGCCCAATACCGAGATTGCTTATCCTGAGGACCCGGACACCACCTCGATGTCAACGAGGAACGACGCCAACGACGGTACGCTGTCAATTTCCCTCCTGCTTTCGCTTTCGCTATCTGCTCCCGCGGGACCTTTCTCGTGGCGTCGATCCATGGACCTTGGACCCTACTGCCCCATCCAACCGCGACAACACCTGGCCAACTCCAGGACCGTACGTCGAGGGATCGAAGACAAGGCAGCAGCGACTCGGAGGTACGACCGGATGGAACCCTCCCCTTGGTCTCGAGGAGATTGCTACACCACCAGACGTAGCCCAGAACCCACTCGGCGCTGGCTTCTACATGTCATTATTTCGCTAACCCGCCAAGTCTTGCGACCGGAATACGAGACAAGGCTTACCCTTGTAACCAAACCGCGACTTGAAGCTTGTAGTCCGAAACCACCCTCATGTCCAGCCCCGCTCGCAGTCTTTTTATTTTGGGCACTCCCTTCTCCTCTAGGGGAACCACGGGGTAAGGTGAGTGGCGAAGAGAAATCATACCTTACTCCTCCACATCGCCCTGTTGTGATATACCTCGTCGTTATATATTTTATAGCTCATGCTTAATGTTCAACGTCCAACTTGAATTCAAAACATCTGATCTCTGGTCCCTGGTGACTGGTCAGTGAAAAATAATTATCGTTCGATGTTAGAATCCAGAATAAAAAATTAAAAAAAAAGAAAAATATAAGGTCGATAGACCTCTCTTATGCATCAAGAGGGAATCGAACCCCCGGCGGGTCGATAAATTGAAGAGTGTATCTTCGCAGGTATGGCAACGACCCAGGTTACCACTACCCCATTGATGCACCATATTGTCTGATCTTCCTTGTCAGATAAAGCTTTTACGAGGATGTCTTCTCAACGCGCATCCTTCTCTTCCAAGTCTTGTGCGACCTTCCACGACGTGCACTACGGCTTTCCCTTCCGACACGAATCCGGCGGTGATCGACTCCAGGACTGGACGAGAAAGTCCATCTGCACAACCACTTGCTTTCACGTCCGCGGAACTTTTTCTCGTGGTGTCGAGATTACGTAGGCTCCCATCCAACCCACGGCTTGCTAGTAGCACACAACATTCAAATCGAATCTTCAATGACGTTGACACCAACTCTGGACCGAACGCAGACGATGACTCTTGGCTGAACACAAGCACATCTCTCCAGTAGTACAATATGGAATTAGCTCTTTGGCACGTGTACACCTATCAACATGGCTATGAGTTGGTGTTTTTTTATAGTTTGGTTTCGTTATGCTCATCCTCGTCTTTGGGACCGGAAGTGACAAGCGACGATAAATCGACGGGTGTCCCCAGTGATACGCTCGTTCTTGCTCATCCAGTATATTCCTCGAGTCCGCCGAGTCAAATACCGCAACCTTACATAATGTTTCTTCAGGACCGCGACTCGGGTGGACATGTCCACCTTTGAAAGTTCTAGTTTTTTCAATGTCCACCTACCCCTACCTCTCAGATTTATAACATCTTTCGACCAATCCAATTTTTGACAGGCACTGCCGACGCTGAGTATGGTCTCTTTCTCGTATCATCCACCGTCACACAGCGATTCCAAAAACGAAGCGTCCTTGACTCTTTACCTTCCCCACTCCTCGCTGAGACTCGACTCCAACAGGCTAGCGAAGACGACATGAACTTCTAGCAGTAGCGAGGATGTCCCAGAAGGACGAGGTGCGTGAACCCCACCTCTCAGAGTTACAGCATCTTTCGACCAATTTTCGACAGCAACTGCCGACGCTGAGCTCATCCACCGCCACACGTCAAGTCCAAAAACGAGGCGCTCTTCGACTCTTTGCCTCCCCATGTCTTGCTGACAAGGCTCGACTCTACCAGCAATCGCGTCCACTCTCCGCCAAACCTCCGTCCTCAGCGAGCGCGACGAACGCAGCCTGGGACCCGATCTTCGCGCACAGCCACGAGCATCGTTCTACGTCTGCCGCCAACACAGCTGGAAGACGCAGCCTCTTGTCCTCAAGCCCGTCCGCGTCACCGCTGTACGGGAAGTCCCGGGTGGTCCTTACCTCATCGGGCCCACCGTATGCGCTTTGCCTACGATCGTGCCACGCCATTAACGGACGTCTACTCCGCGAGGCTATTGCTCTCAGCATAGGACGCGGAGGGTACCAAGACTTTGTTTTCAATTTTCACTCTGAGTCAGTAGCCATTCGGCTTTCCATGGCTATCATCCGTCGCACTGTCGTTTATTCTGATTTTGCCTCTACGAATAGAGCGTAGCTGTTGATATGCTCCAATTGTGATCTTCGTTGTCAGTAAGGGCGGAAAAAATTCGCAAGAACAGCGGTGTATAGATGAGGAGTCGAACCCTGACGGTGACTTACCGACTACCGGACCAACAATGCATGATGGTTTTCTTTGTATGACATCGATTTTAATCTAAGTTCCGACGAAGGACAATGTACACTTATCTTGCGCACTGCCCCGCGAAAATCATATCAATCTCGTAATCTTCACAAACATGCCTGTTCCGTCTCCAAATTTGGAGCTCTGAGTGGGGTTTCGCTCTTACTCGAGTCTCGTAAAATATGTATTACAGAAATGTGGTATAATTCAAACACGTTCAGAGTGAGTAACGCCAAGGCCCAAGGCCCCATCATTGTTCATACTACAACCCATGCAAAACGAAAACGAAAAACCACAAGACAACTGCCCTCATGCATCAAGGGGGAATTGAACCCCTGGCGGGTCAATACATTGGAAATGTATGCATATCGGGATGGCAACGACCCAGGCTACCACTACCTCATTAATGCACCGTACGGTCTGATCTTCCCTGTTGAGCAGAGCTTTTACGGGGGTGTCTTCTCACTGTGCACCCTTCTCTTCCAAGTCTTGTGCGACCCTGCTTAGGGGCTTGTGCGCTATGGCCTTCCCCTCCAACAACTCGTACTGCAAAAGAGGGAAGGTACAATACGTGTGCATGGTCTATCTTCCTGCTACCGTGGCCCCAACGCTATTCTGCTGGTTCCTTCCTTTCGACTATTCGATTCCTCTCGTGGCGTCAAGCCCGCGAGCTTTTCTACTTGCACGTGCCAATCTGGGTCCACGTGAGATTATATTCAGAGGATGTTCAGTTCCCACCAACAGACTTCATCCATATGGCGAATCTTGCGCCGTAAGCGAGGACTTCAGGACTGAATCCTCTGGCGGCATAAGCGACTCAGAGGAGCGACAACAACTCCAGGCTGAACGCAAACATCTGCTCCGCTCGTCTCTCCTGTATCATGTGACGCAGCAGCAGCAGTATACCTAGCCGGAGCATGGAAATAGCTGTTCGCTATGCGTACACCTTTTAGCATGGCTATGGGTCGATATTTCTAGTTTGGTTTCATTATACCCTCGTCTTTGGGGACGGAAGAAACAATAATGAATCTAGGGACGTCCCGAGTGATGCGCTCGTTCTTGCTCGTCCAATGTCCTCCCTGCGCCGAGTCAGACGTTCCAATTTTAACGCTTCTTTAACACACGGAACGGCCGTGACTCGAGTGGACATGTCGCCGCCTGGCAAAAGTTCTAGTTTTGTCTATCGATCGTACTTTACCACCGCCGTATGCGAGAAGAATGGGACAATTCGTACTACAACATCCTCGTCGTGTGATCAGTGCAATTCATAAATACATTCATTGACTTCAAGACCAAGTTCTAATGGACTAATTTTAGTATAGATAAGGGTAGCGCATGATACCTAGGGTAACCATGGGTAAGTTACCAACCCTCCAAGTTGCGGGAATGATTTTGATTTGGACGAAACAAAAGTAAAAAAAGATTGAATATCTTCCTAGCATTCGCATGCATCAGGAGAGAATTGAACTCCCTGCAGATCGACAGATGGCAACAACCGGTTGCCGCTGCCGTACTAATGTACCTACTAGTCCCAGATGCCCGAGCCGTTTTGACCGTGACACAGGGAAACCATTTGAGCGTCCACTCACTTTGACCGCAGCACTGATTTAAATAGTGGATGTTCCCCCGATTGAGCGGCATCTTTGCGAGAACCTGATCAACTGGTACCACTGCTTCGCCTTCGGAAAGGGAACCGGTCCTCGCCCTCCAACAACTCCCAGTCGCTCCAAAATTCTTCCCCAGCTGTGCACCGTGTATCTCCCTGTTTACCACTATCCATCTGCTCATCTGCTAGTTATTTGGTTCCTCTCACCTACGTACTTTTTTTGCTTCCACAGAACCTGTTCAAGAACAAGAGCGCTTATCAGAGGAACTGGAGGAACGACGCGCGCGGGAAAGTGGCAATGCACTCAGGTCTACATCAGTTGAACGACTTTTCTTCATACGGATCATTGAAACTGGACTACAAAACTACCGGTCTGCTTCCGCGGAACCTTTCTCATGGCGGTGATGGACCCACGTTTAATGGAAACAAATCAACTCCTGCTCAAGAACGAGATTACTACACAGTGAGCTCAGGATTTTCAGGATTCTAGAGACGTATCTACGGGTGACTCTTGGGCGTGGGTGTCTGGATGCAACGCGGAGGGAGGCTTTGTTGTTCAACCTTGACGATACTCTAGTAAGCAGACAGATCTTGCTACTGTCATTCCAAGTTTATTTCTAGCACAACAGTCAAGATGTCGTTACCCAAGTCAAAGCCGAGGAACATGTCCTAGAGACGCACGGCAGAACGTACATGAGATACTAGACAACACGGTGCTTGCCGAATACCCTCGAGGGGTGAGTTCTGGGAGTGATCCTGCTGTTTAGTTTTCAATCTGCGCTGTGATAGTACTAAAAGAATACCACCTACGAATCATGATCTTCGACTCTCGACTCTCTAAAGTCTAGGTGTCTCGAGTGTTTCTGAATATCATCTGATAAAAAGGAAGAGATCCACAACGTAACTATATATGCATCACGCGAGAATCGAACCTCCGGCGGGTCGATAAACGTATTTACAAAACAGACTGTGTTATTGCCCGCCCAAGCTCCTGGTTTTTCACACTCGTAGGCAGTGTCACTCGAACATTGAGTCCAGGAGTGCGGACAATTCCCCCGCCGGAGCGTGCCTCGCTCAAGGATATGCTCCTCGCTGCAGAAGAAGCCCTCAAAGATCTTCCTGGTTATCGATCCGTCTTCGCGGAGGACTGGGTCCCAGACATGGATTCCCATGTAATCCTAGCAGCTTGTATGGGAAACGAGGTCGCGAAAGCGAAGCGGGTAAGAAAGATGGGCACAGAGGTGTGGGAAGGTGTCTTTACGAGCTTGCTCGTCAAGACTCTGAGGTCTGGTGTGCTGGGAAGGGAAGCGACGTATGCAGACCTTATTGAGGCTCTGCCACCACTCCATTTTCAGACGCCGAATGTGGCAGGAGGGCACAAGGATACGCGTCTTTGGTATCAGGTCTGATGTGGGTCAACAGTTCTGGGAAGCCGGGCTTCAAACTTTATTATATGGTTTTGATTAAATCGAGTCCAGTCCGTAAAGTCGCTGAGTTGATATAAGATTCGTAACAACACAGGTGCTGGCGGTGCGTTCACCGAGAAGGGACCTAGTAGAGAGCGGTTCATGGTTAGCGTCCAATTTCATCACTGACCTTGAATGCTAGTTCTCACCTGATATCAAGCTTACCTGCATACAATCCTTTTCACCGTAGGGTTGAGTACATGGAGCAACTGTTACTTGAACATTAACCGCGGAGCAGGTCACGGTTAGGAATCAAAGAAGATATTACCAGGTGGTCGGTCTTCAAACCTATCACTTCAGGGAGGTCCCCGGAGTTGTGTGAAAACCAAGCCACTGACTAGGAGTATGCGAAGGATAAAAAAACAAAAGGCTCATGTACTCCCTATCTCTCTTCGTTGAAACTGACTTCGTACCACCTTCGCGTTGGATGATTTGCTTCCGTGAAACTTTTCCATTCCTAGTGCATGTATATACTGTACTAGACTATGAAGTAGTGACGACAGAGGTTCGTAGAACAATGAATGCATCAATAATGTTCAATATGAACTCCTTGTGTACATGTAAGTCCGATTGAATAAACGAAGTGCAGCTGTAAAAATTGCGAGAAGGAATGCGGTCGAGGCAGGCGTGTGCATCCACTCGCTGGTATGCTCGGCTTGGTGATCCAACTCGACCTGCCCATCGATCCGAGTCGTTCATCTGGCCACCATTTACTCGATTCCACGGGGGCTTCCCATCCAATTTCTCAATCCGAAAAGAACATCTGACTACGTAGGGATCGGGCCTTGTTGACAATCGTGCACGCAGTCGAGATGACCTCCTGGAAACCCAAGTCGCTGATGTCCAGCGATAGTTGAGTATAAGAGAACCCCTGGATATTGGTCTCGAGCAACTCAAGCTCCTCCAGCGTAAGGCACATCGCAATGTCCTCTAGGATGTCATCGGCAATCATGGCCGGAGGCGCGGATGTCTTCCGCTGGCCAGCAGGAAAGAGATGGGCGTATTCCTAGCAAGAGGTACGACCAAACAGGGTGACAAAGAGCTGCGACTGATCATGGTTGTAGAAATACACGAGAGTCACGTAGAAAATCCAAAAAGGGATCACATCAGTGTTTGCATTCATGACGATCACTGGGAGCTGTCCGGGTATGGATGGGGGAAGAACTGGGACGCTTCCACAATTAATTGCAAGTATGCAATAGTGCATGAGAAACATCGGTCCGTCGCCCATCCAATTCGAGAACATGACCGCGCAGTCGGGCTTGGCCGCATCACTAGCACTTTCGTGGGATATCAACGTCGGAAGGTGATTGAGCCTGGAGACAGGCCATTTTTGGCAGATAAATGAACTGAGAAGGGGTGATGCGCTTGAGATGATGCTGTCACGGATATCGTATGGAATGTTGGATACGTGTCGGGGCCCCATGAACGCGTCCAAAATTTGGGAGGCGTCGGCACGAATGACTTGAATCCCTACGTTTCCATCCGTCTGTAGTTCGCTGGGTGCATCACAAATATGCTCTTCAGCGGGGATATCGCCAGTAGGAGGTAGGTCATAATTGTGCTGGTCGAACATTTTTGAGTGAAGTACTGTTGGATGAGGCAGACAACTCACCGAAGTCCTTCATTTATATATTGCGGAACACAATAGGTTGTCGAGCTTCGACCGATATCTTGAGTATGTCAAGTATCAAAAGGTCAAAGCATTGACTTGGACGAAGTGCCATCGGTAGAAGAGTTTTGTCATGCACGCGTCGCGGATTGCCTAGTTAGATATGAGATGCATTTTCTAATATACCTTTTTTGGGCTCAAGGGTGGGATTTAAGAGCCCGAACACTTGGCCGGAAAAGATAACCTTTTTCCCAAAGTAGGTATTCAAGGACGGCGGGGTACCAAGATGCCTGACCTGAATCGACTGAGGAAGAGTAACTCCTGCGTTACGGAGTCTCATTTAGATAAATATCCAGGAAGTGAGCTTTGGAACGATGAGGAAAGTAGGTAAGCAGTCGTATGGCCTGGTCTGGGTCTGAGGCACATACAAGTGATGAGGAAATGCGAAGAACACAACGACGAGCATTTCTAGTTAAGAAAATATTAGGAAATAGCAGAAAACAACGTGAAAGAAACCTTGTCTTTGTACAAATATAGTATTTCGTCTCCGAGAAACTGCCAAAAATGCGGATGTGGGGATTATTTGAGCTAGATTTCGGGGATGAAAGCATGATGGGCGAGATCCTAAGAGCGATTTTCTGTTTACATATATTTGCAGTCCATCCCAAACTCGATCACGTGTCAAAATGTATCCCATCGCTCAGCATACACTTCGTGTCGAAACTT